CATTACACTTTTATCGTTCTTAGCTTATACAATTCGCCACCATTGTGTTGGTTAATGTCGGCGTTTTCGATAGTAAGCACCAGACGTTTTGACAATCCTCTTGTAGGTAAACGTCCTTAGTTCACTTTCTGATTTATGAAGGAAAGGTCTGCAAATTACGAGCACCGAATAGGCAGTAGCAAAACTGGCAGCGAGGTGCTTTTGACCATATTACAGAAACACTCATAGGAGCCTGAGTCCCTTAAGCACTTTTTCGTAAATGTAATCTCGTAGACTGGCTGTTTGGTCAAGACGATTGTTATTATCAGCTGTGAACGATGGGCTTGAAGTTTTTTGCGATCCATCTTAGTAATTTGGAGAGCCTTGGTCGAATACATATGACATAATTTGTGCTTTGAGTACAGACTCCTCTAGTATTGTCTTTGGCATGTGGTCTGTTACTGCTAATTCTTTGTCTTCATATCACCGTCTTTTCGATGCTAACACTCACATCGCATTGGCCTGTCAAGAACGCAAAATCCATGGGCTGGGTAGCAGTTAAATACCTGTGCTTTCGCTGTGCCTTACTTCATGTACTTGGGGGACACCCTTACCTGTTGTGACAGATTTCAGCAGCTATCCATCAAAAAACCGTTGCGAATTTGACCCATCATGAATGTTTATTTTAACTGTTCTCCTATCAGGCAAGATCTACAGAACGTCCGGCGCCGGATCTTTTCCGCCTAATTTTCTTGCTTGGCCATTCTCTTGGACACGCTCACTTTTGTTCAGCGGTCCAACGCGATAGGGGTTTGGCCCGTTTTTGTAAAAAAATAATCGTAGTTCGCTATTTTAGCTGTCTTCCTGTCTATTAGATCTCTCTCGAGTTCCTTTAAAGTTCGAACGATTGGGAGCGGCTTTGTTTCTCCTGTCCGCAGTTACGCTGGTTAGTTTTGTCCATGCATTCAAGTAACTGGCATTCAGCCTTTGCTTGTGGGGCCTCTATTCAGTGAATATCGTGGAAGGACTTATTATCGGGTCCATGGTAAGTACTTGTACTTGTACTTGATACGGCTGCGATCATGCCTGATCTAGCCGGCCTCGATGATGTCCCGAACAGTACCTCTCCACGCGTGACGGTCTGCGGCAGCAGATCTAGACAGCTCGACCCATTCCCTTCGCCAACGACGGAGACCGAATACCGAAGGTCCAAGAACCACCTCCATGTCTTGACGGACAGTGTCGAGCCAGGTTTTGAACTGACCCCCTCTTCGACGCCTCCAATGGGGCAACGGTGCCGGGTCGAGGGCAGTAACACTGAGCTCCTGAGGTGGACGACGAAGAACATGCCCGAACCACCTCAGTCGTCTTTCTTGGATGGCCTGAGTTATCCTTGCGATGTTGTCGCAGCGAGCGCGGACTGTCTCATTTGAGACGAAGTCGGTTAACTTCACTCGAAGGATGATCCTCAGGCAGTGGTTGTCAAATACCTCCAGTTTTCGCTCATCCTCCACGCGCAAAGCCCAGCATTCACAACCGTAGAGAAGGACAGACCGGACAGATGCACGGTACACACGAATCTTAGTGGCGATGGAGAGGTCACGTCGGTTCCACAGGCATTTCCGAAGGCTTGAGAAAACCCAGCGGGCAGCATCGATTCGGGAGACAATGTCGTCCTTACTCTGTCCGTTAGGCAGCAGCCTTGCCCCGAGGTATTTAAAACTGTCCACTTCTTCAAGTTGACAGCCATCAATCCCCAGGGGTGCCTTCTCCTGGTCAGGGATGCAGCTTGAGAATACTTTGGTCTTCCCAGCGTTTATGGACAAACCGACTGCTTTGGCGACCTCGTTCACCCGTGACACCATAGACTGCAGATCACCAAAACTTGAAGCAAGTAAGGCGATATCATCGGCGTAGTCGAGATCAGTCAGTCGACGTCCGGGTGCAAATTCAACGCCGTCACCGTCGCGTAGGGCCCCCCCGAGGATCCAGTCAATAGCGTAGTTGAACAGTATGGGTGACAGGATACAACCCTGTCGGACGCCAGACCGAATACCGAACGGTTGGGAAAGATTGTTACGGACCAGGACTCTTGCAGTAGTGGATCGATAGTAGGCCTTGATCATGGCGATGATTTTTGCCGGTACACCATCTAGCGCCATTATCCGCCACAGGGACTCACGGTGAACGGAATCGAACGCGGCGGCAAAGTCAACGAAGCAGACGGCCGTCGGTTGTTGGTTGCTATGGCGAAATTCGAGAATGCGCCTCAGTGTGAATATCTGATCTGCGCATCCACGTCCAGCACGAAATCCGGCTTGGTTGGGCCTCGTCCTTGAGTCACGCACAGCCTGGAATCGCCTGAGTAGGACAATAGCGAAGATCTTCGCAGCAACGTCGATGAGACTTATGCCGCGGTAGTTCTCGCATCTCGTCATATCTCCCTTCTTGAGGATAGGTACAAGGATGCCTAAGCCCCAGTCATCAGGAACAACCTCGTCTCTCCACGCTCGTTCAATCACCTCATGGAGCCAGGGCGCCAGAGTGTCGACACAAGACTTGAAGATTTCAGCGGGTATACCGTCCTCTCCGGGTGTCTTATTGTTGCGCAACTTTCGTATGGCATCGGCGACTTCTTCCTCGGAGGGGGAATCGCATGGCACTGCATAGATAGGAGAGGGAAGAAACTCCGCTGTGGAGGAGAGCAAGGGCGATGTTGGTTGGGTATCGAAGTTGAGATGGTGCTCAAAGTGCTCACGCCAGCGCTCGACTTTGGCCGAGTTGTCAGCAATAAAGCCGCCGTTCACATCGCGAACAGAGTCACTCAGTGTAGAGGGCTTACAGCTAACTTGGCGGATCAGACGGTAGAGCTTTCGAGTGTCACCAACGTTCGAGGCCTGTTCCATGGATGTCGCTATTTCAGCCCAATATTGCTTTCGGTCATCCCTGGCCGATTTTGACGTCATCTTCCGAAGTTGGCGGAAGTAGTCATCGTTGCGGGACCTGGCTCTAGCCGTCTGAGCAGACAACTGCAGGGTTCTTCCGCTGATCCAGTCACTGCGGCGTCGCTGGGTGTATCCAAGGATTTTCTCAGCTGCCCCATAGACTGATGTCTTCAATGACGACCACTGGTTCCTGACTTCTCCGTCGGCTCGGGTCGTAAAACAGGTCCGGATTTCTCTGCTTATGGCCTCAGCAGTGCTGGCTTGCCGGATTTTTGCGACATTGAGGCGTCTAGGACGTGGCATTTTCGGCGCGGATGAGAGATGAACTTTCAGGCGTGTACGGACGAGGACATGGTCCGACCCATGGGCGTTACCAGTCTCGGCACCACGCATCGATCTGCTATCGTGAACCCAGCTGCGGAATCTTGAGCTGACTAGTATGTAGTCAATCTGACTGGCCGTACGACCATCGTTTGAATACCAGGTCAGCAGATGTTTTTTTCGATGCTGGAAGCATGTGTTGGTGACAAGCAGTTGGTTTCGATCAGCGAAGTTCAGCAATCTCTCACCATTTTCACATCGGGAACCAAGCCCAAAGCGGCCAAGAAGATGACTGGTTGTGGAGTCGCCAGGTCCAGTTCGACCATTCCAATCGCCAGCAACAATCAGCAGATCGCGGCGCGGCAGTCTTTCAACTAGCGCTTGCAACTGAGAGTAAAACGCCTCTTTATCGCGCTGTTCGGCAGCCGAAGTTGGTGAGTACACAGCGACGATGGAGATGTTCGTGAAGTGACCCTTCAGTCGCACGTAGGCCATCCGGTCATTGACTGGTTCCCAAGCAAGTAGCGCGAGGTCTGCTTGTTGTGATAGGGCGATCGCCACACCATGCCGACCAGAGGAATCGAGGGGGCCGCTGTGGTACAGGGTGAAGTGGGATTCGACTCCAGGGATCTTGATTTCACGGGAGCCTGAGTCAGGGGGTCGTACCTCAGACAGACAGCAGACATCCACGTTGTACTGATGAAGGCTGCGTGCGGTCAGACTTTGGGTACCAGGGTCGAGGAGCGTTCGTACATTCCAGCATCCAATACCGAGAGTCCGTCCACGATTGAGTAGTCCAGCTCGCATACTATTCGCCCGCACCACTGGACCAGGGTTGCGGAGCGCGTCGGTTCCCGCGGACGCCGTAGCATGGATCGTAGTACTGTGATCGGACATTTTTTCATGAGGTTTCTTGGGAATTTTGAATACGGGCGGGTCCCCAACAGCCGCTCGGATTGTTTGTTCGAGGTTGTCTCCTCTAGCGCTTTGGCTTAAAAGCCTAACCACAAGGCAGCGGTGGCAAGAAAACTTATTTAATGGCGGTTTACGGTCGCCATGTCACAATGCCGTCATTGGGTTTTGCGGCATTTTATAAGGCTTTCAGCGTGCCAGACTTCAGCCCACCGCACCCTGGTAGCAGTGTCGCTGCCGGTCCGCGACTGCTTATTCGTCAGACCTGGGTCTGCTTATTTCGCAGCTAACCTTCACTGAAGGTCGTCCCACTATCCGCCACCTGTGGACGCGCCGGGTAGCCAGCAGCTAGGCTAACGGGCAACCCGTCTTCCCGTCCAGGAATAGCCTGGTCGCGGGCTAGTGTTGCTATTAAGTGGATTTTTCAGAAATTTTAGCGGACACTGTCCACACGGGGACAGTAAGTTGACGAGCCTTCTTGGGTGCCATGAGGGCGTTGTAGCCCAAGGCGATTTAAGTCGCCAGACAGGCGCCTAAATTCCAGACAAAGTGCATTCGTGCGTACGCGCAAAGAGACCCCTCCGGCGTGACGTGCAAGATGCACTCGGGTGAGCATCAAGGAGGGGATGTAGCTGTCAGCCAATTAGGTTGCTAGCCCTGCGCTAGCCCGCAAGGTAAACGGGCTAGCAAATTTCTAGCCCTGGACGACTAATTGCTATCAGGGTACTTGGAAGTTGGTAATAAGAATAGTCAGTGTTATGATCGCCAGTTGTGACAGTTGCTTATTGATATTGATGCTAATTTCGCAGACATTTCACAAAATACATAGGACTGGCCTCATCTCTTCTCCATCCTCCAACAGTTCTTACGGCGATGAGAAAGCTGTCTTCCACAGCCATATCCAAGGAACCGCGTCCCTGTGCTCTCCGCTGACATCAAGACGCTAGCAGAAAGTCTGTATGTGCACGTTCGCAAAGGTCACATTCGACTTGCCACGCAATTGGAAGATTCGTTTATGGTATTCGGTAAGACCGCGGTCTTGCTGGGTTCATCATGTTGACAGTGGTTAACGCCATGTTTCGAGACCAAGAGGACGACCGGCCCTCAATCGAGACGCCAGAGGGTTGCTGTACAGATTATTTACACTCGCGTATGCGGTCACTAAGGCCATACGATTTGTGATTATCATCGAGCACAGGGATTTGAAACGGACAAGGAACAAGGCTTATACATCCGTGTAAACCACCCTGCACAATTGCCTGGCATGTCATGTTACCCTACGATCAAATGCCTGCAGGCTTCATTACAACCATGCAATCTACCACCCCTGCCACAGGGTCACGAAAGACCTCAATTTACTGGAAGATCAGCGACTGGAGTATGCTCAGTTGATAGCGGAAGGAAGGTATTCGTAGAACAAGTCGCTGAAACTTCGATTATTCGGTTCTGCGAGCGTCTGTTATGCCAGGGTCAGCAAGCCATGGCCCTCGCAGTCTGGTATGCGCTGGCAACCCTCTGACACCTGGTTCCCTGCCGCTTGCGTTCCTACTGGATATACAGGTCCTGAGTATGGCTGCCCGGTCTTCCTCGTCATCTGACCCCTTATGGTGCTGTTGATGATTAAGACCCTGACCAATTGTTGTGTGGACTGGGGGGTGTGGAGTGCGGGTTCGGCCGCGCCATCCAGTTTCACCTCCCGTCTCCGGTCTTCTCGGCCTTGTCTTAGTACTGGGCTGGAGGGGGGGGGGGAGAGTGCGGCAGATGCAGCGCAAGTCTGCACGCACTATAAACTAAATCAAGTCACCGTGCCTACTTCACGTTGTTGTGGAGTACAC